CTACTTAGATCCTCTATAACTTATTTTTTAAAGACTAAGTTCTTTCTAGCCTTCTATGCTATATATAAGGCTATTATAATAAAAAGAAATATTAGGGGGGCTTTTAAAGGAATTAGCCTTATTCCCCTTGACCTAGAAGCTATAGTCTTAAAGCTTAATATATAGCTATGAACTCTAATGCCTACCGAGGAGGGGGTTAAACCCTCTACCCCTTAGGTCTTAAGGACCCTAAGGACTATACTTAAGGCTAGATCTTAGCCTAAATACCTCGAAAGATAAATTAGAAGGTATTATAATAACTCCTTAGAATTAATTATAGAGGCTATAAAGTCTCTTATAAAGGCAATAAAGGGAAATATATATAAGATTATATTATTAAGGGCTAAGGTTAAAGACCTTTAAGAGGTAAATAAGATATTAAGCCGGCGCTAGAGGGTAAAAAGGACTAAATTATAAAAAAGAGGAATAATAATAATAGAGGAAGGAAGGTAAGTAATTAATTAAATAGATACTAATATATAGGTAATAGCCGAATTATCGAGATATAGTAGTTAAGGAAGGTCGGCGCGACCGGGGGTTTAGCGTTATAGTATCTGCGGCTAGCCCGGCTATAATATAAGGACCTATTAGGTAGTAATTAAGATATCTAGGGAAGAGTATAATAAGTAGTTTTAATTAATTAAATAGTTTATAGTATTTTTATAGCGATTTTAATCTTTTAGGCTAAGAAAAGTATATAGCTTACTTATTAAGTATGTTATATTTATATTATATTCTTTATTATAATCTAAGCCCGGCCCTTAATGCGTTACCTAAGCCAGAAGACCGACCCCAATACATACGGTGCCAAGGACCAACGAGTAATATCCAGTGGAGGGTCGACAGAGGTAGCGACTTGAAGCTGGCATCGGGCAGGTTTCGTTCCTGCTTTGGGAAGCTACGCCTATGGCCGCAGCGCGGACTTTCTGATAGGCGGATGGCGAGTTGGCACCCTGCTGCGGCAAGGATAGCTACAGCCTGGCTTACGGTGAATCCTAGCCTGCTTCCCAAGCTCCCGAGCGATTGGCCCTATGCATTGCTAAAGGCAGCTATCTCTGGACTGGTGGCTACACAATGAAAAGCCTGGCTAAAAATGACTGGCGCTCTGATGCTGTTGTTTCATCGGGGGTCGTCCGGGTCAATTCTTCTACCTCAACACATCAAGAGCTACAGCGTAGTCAATAGTTCTGGTCCCCATTCTCCATCTATGACGGAGCTATAGTGAATTCCGGTTGAACTCGTACCGCCTCGTTTACTACACTGGCGGCTGCTCAACCAAGAGAACATGCCTACAGCATGGTGCTTTTGGCGTGGTTGCTCACAGAGGGCCTTCAAACTTGACAAGCCGATCCAACGGTTCAACGCCATGGTGTCCGTCACAAGATGCAGTCAAAACGTCAGCGGTAAAACGGAGTCTGCAAAAACCCCGTCGAGAAAATCATCCTGATTGAAAAGCCCTAGGCTATCGTAGTCGATGGGCGTTGTCACCATCAATGAGGGCCTGTCGGGGTTTGAACCAAGCCCGACCTGCCGAGGCTAGCGCCAGACCCTTGTTCACGCACGGCATCTTCCTTCCCCAGTCGATCTTCATCTGGACCCACAGGACGTTCGAGTCAAGCGGCACTTGACCCTCGACGTCAAGTCCTTGGAACACGTAAGTTTCTGATTTTCTAACCTTTCAAAGGAAACACGTCCGTCATAAACCTAGGTGTCTCCCCTTAGCTGTAGATGTGTAATATCCGTGCTATGCGAAGCTATCAGACCCGAATCTCCCACCAAGTAGGACAGCTTTAGTCGACCATCAACCAAGATGTCCTCGATCAATGTCACTCGACCGAAGAAGGCTTCAAGCACGAGAACGTTGGCATGTATCTTATGTCAACAGCAAAAGAAGAAGTGCGACAAGAAGAGTCCCTGTACAAATTGCACCAAGGTACGCCGATTGTGCTCTGCTCGAGGAAGCGGGACGCTAAACTTCCTCTTCAAGCATAACAAAGTGTGTATTCCCAGCGTACCATCTCCACCGAAGAAGCGTAGACGCCCATACCAAGAGCTTCTTGAGAGGTTGAAAAGATGCGAGGAACAGCTGATGTGCTGTACTTGTATCCGGTTGCCAACTCCAGAGAGTCTTGCGTCTGAGAAAGACTCTCCAGCCTCTCCCGGCAACCACGAGGCCAACACACATACCAGGCCGACACAGTTAGAATATGAATCCAAGATGACTTGAAGATGCACAAGAGGATGCTAGATGCCGACAATCGATGCGGCATTCACAAAAGCAGATTTGTCAAGGCCCGCGTGCTCTGCGCGGGTCGGTTCGAGTCGAGTCGAGTCGAGTCCGTCCTGGTCGTGCTGGGACACGTCCACTGTGCGCACATCTCGGGGGCCTGCCGCAGAGTATATTATCTTAGTCGTATGAAACCATTAAACCATTTATGCCGCTCTCCCCCGATCCTGACAATCGACTGCCGTTCTGCAGGCGTTGCTCTTTCGAAAACAATAAATATTAATGATCTCTGATATATTGAAACTCGTGAAACGGACCCTCGTCTATTAATCAGCCACAAAAGCCTTCATAGTATACTCTCTTTGCTTCCAGCTTGGACATCTCGCAGCGCTCATTTTCATACCTTGAGTCCCTCGCGCAACGAGAGAAACAGAAGTTCGTAACTGATATTCCTCGGAGGCCTTGACGTTTTTTTGGACAGCTCTGGCCCTCCTCCAGCCGTGCCCTACTTAGCCTGAACCCAATAGTTCACGCTACTGGATCAATTGCGGGTTCGAGTGGCTAGAGAGATCTTGAAACAGATGACCCCTTACACCAGGGACAAGAAATGAGGCAAAGGGATGTGGGTTGCTATGAGTGTGATTGCCGTCGTCCTGCTCGACGCTTGCTGATCCCGGGGTCTTGATATTCCTAATGCGCAACTTGACAGGCTACGTAGCATTAAATGACCAATCTGTTGCCCAAGTCCTTGTGCCGAGTTTGAGTCTCCCATCAGTCACGTATGAGCGGCCTGAAACGTGATGCCCGCTGAGTAAGATGCCCCTGAAGTTAAAAAACAGAGCCCCCCATTATCTTGAGAAATACTTTCCCAAGTACCTTCTCTGGTAAATTACGTGAAGAGATATGACACCTTTCATAACGTTGCAGCTAGGTATGGCTCTTCTACTGCGGGCCGCAGAAGGTTAAAAAAAAGGCCACTGTGTTAGCATTGGGGTATGATGCTATGGTGTGTTGACAATGTGTTCTTAATTGTAGCTGAAGCCCGGCCCTTGATGGGTTAACTGAGCCACAAGATCGAGGAGATATGACGTTGACCTGTCGATAACATAACTACGGAGTATAACGATATGAAAGGGACTAGATCGACTTTCGGAAGATGCTTTGTATTTTAGTCCCGGTTATTATATACTTGTATTAATCATACTCAAAGTTAGTATATACTAGCTCAAGTTTAGTAATTCGCTAACATATTATAGTTAAGCTCTAATTAACTTAATCTTTATTATAATCCTCGTAATAGTCTAACTTACCTTAATAGCTATAACTTAAACTTTTTTGCTTTTATAATTAAAACCTTCTTTTTTCTTTATAGCTTAAATTACTTTAATAACTTAAAAACTTAAAATCTTTACTTTTTTTATCTTAATTTCTTAATTTTATTTATAGTTTTTATTTTATTTTATTTCTCTTAGATATATAATTACTTTTAATAAGCTATAAACTTAGTTTATATTTTCTTTTCTAATATAATTAAAACAGTAATTTTTTAGCTTTATATCTCTAAGTTTTTTAACTTATAATAACATATTATATAATATAAAATACCTAAGATTTTATAATACCTCTAGGTACTTTAATAATATAAGAAAAACCTTTATAGTTAATATAATAAACGTAATAAAAATAGTTAATTTAATAATCTAAATCTTAATAAATCTTAACATATTAATATTATAAGATAAGTATAGTTATATAGTTAATATAAAAGGTCTTAAATCTTAAAGGAAAAATATTAAGTTTATATTAAATAATAATAATAATATTATATAACTTAATAATATATATTATTTTATTAATTATAATTCTTTAATATATTATATTAATAAATATTATAACTTTATTAAGAAATAATGTTTATAAAAATAAATAAAATACAAAACATATATATTAATATAAAATTAAAATAATTAAATACCTTATTAGACATTTAACCTTTTATTATAATACATTCTGTATTATAGTTAAAGCCTAGCCCTCGACGGGTTAACTAAACTATAAGATCGTATACTTGCATCCTCCTGCTATGGATGAGCCTCTGGGGACCGACGATTGTTCGCTTCGTCAGCGGCAGTCAACGGAGACCATAGGAATCCGACAGACACACAACCAGGTACACGTGAGCCACACGCCATGGGTTCCGAATTGCCTATTTACAGTTATGATATGGAGACGGAGTGCGAGAACGTCGCCGAGCCCGCGGTCTCGGCGGCTCCCTTGCCAAGCCAAGCTGCAGCGCCAGCAAGCCGTGCCGTGCAGCTGCTTGTCGGCTCCATCATAGATCTACTTCGTACGCTAAGCGCCGTCATTTCCCACGGCGTAAGCCAAACCTAGATAAATATGTGACAGGTGGCTTGCGTTGCTTGATATGTATTCCCATCATTCTCTCTTTTCTTCTGGAACCCTTAGAAACCAGCCACGCTGAATTCATCCCACTATCGCACCTCCATCCCTCGAAGGCTGAAGTGAGCCAGGCACGACGAGACCAGAAATCCACACATTCTCTTTCGAAACAATAAGCTGGGCTATCAGACGCCCCAACCTTACGACCATGTCACCCGAAAACGATGGCTCTGGCGAACCTGCCTGCAAGGCTCCAGATGGGAAACTCGGGGATCAGGGCCAGTCAACTGCGACTGCTCGATCCGGGTCCCCGCCTCGCAAGCACTCTCCTGATATGGCGGCTACACTTGTCACATCCGACAGCCAAGTCGACGTTGCGCAATCTTCCGCAAGCACGCGTCAGAACGGCGAGGAGTCAGCGGTCGACACCAACGGCGGAGACGAAGCCGACGACCCAGAGCAAGAACGAAGGAACAGCATAGTCCAGTCTCTCGCGAGAGCCTATACCTCTCAGAGTCACGCTTCCGGCGGGACATACCCGCCTGGCAGCGTGTTTCTGGCACAGCAAGACCCCGACTCTCCTCTGAACCCTCAAAGCCCCAAGTTCAAGGCTAGAGCTTGGGCAAAGGAAATCGTCAGGATGATGGCCGGCAACGGCTCTTCGTTCCGGACAAGTGGTATCTGCTATCAGAATCTGAACGTCTTTGGATTCGGCACCGGCATGGACTACCAGAAGGACGTTGCCAACGTGTGGCTCGAGGTTGCTGGCCTCGCACGCAAGGTGTTTGGATACGGCAAGAACCGCATCGACATCCTGCGTAACTTCGACGGCGTGCTCAACAATGGAGAGATGCTTGTCGTCTTGGGTCCTCCAGGATCCGGTTGCAGCACCTTTCTCAAGGCCGTTTCCGGCGAGACGAACGGTATCTACGTCGACGACCAGGCCTACCTGAACTACCAAGGCTTAGGTCCTAAGGAGATGTTCACAGCACATCGAGGCGAAGCAATCTATACAGCTGAAGTGGATGTCCATTTCCCCATGCTGACGGTGGGTGAAACGCTCACCTTTGCCTCACGCGCTCGTCTACCGCGACAATTGCCCGAAGGGGTGACAGCGTCAACCTATACCGACCACCTGAGAGATGTGGTGATGGCCATGTTTGGCATTAGCCATACAAAGGACACAAGAGTCGGAAATGAGTACGTCAGGGGTGTATCTGGCGGGGAGAGGAAGCGAGTCACCCTCTCCGAAGCTGCCCTTTCCGGTGCGCCATTGCAATGTTGGGACAACTCTACTCGAGGGTTGGACAGTGCAAACGCTATTGAGTTCTGCAAGACTCTCCGGCTCCAGACAGAGCTGTTCCGCACTACCTGTGCCGTCTCTATCTACCAGGCGCCCCAGGCTGCGTATGATCTCTTCGACAAGGTTGTCGTCATCTACGAAGGCCGGCAGATCTTTTTTGGCCCAATAGACACGGCAAAACAGTACTTTATCGATTTGGGCTATGAATGCGCGACCCGCCAGACAACGCCCGACTTCCTCACTTCGATATCAAGTCCCAAGGAACGCATCGTGCGACCCGGCTTTGAGAACAGGGCCCCTAGGACTCCGGACGAGTTCGCGACGGCGTGGAGGATGAGTGACCACTACAAGGCGTTGCAGTCGGAAATCGAGCACTACAAAACCGCACACCCCATCGACGGGCCCGACGCAGAGGCCTTCCGTGCTCACAAGCAGGCTCAGCAGGCCCATGGGCAGCGCGCCAAGTCTCCGTTCATGCTGTCATATGGCCAGCAGGTCCGTCTCTGCCTTTTGCGCGCGTGGTGGCGTCTCGCCGGTGACCCGTCTGTCACCGTGGGGCAGCTCATCGGCAACGTCATCATGGGATTGATTATAGCTTCCGTCTTCTACGACCTAGAACCCACGACAGACAGCTTCTACCAGCGCGGTGCTCTCGTGTTCTTCGCCGTTCTCATGAACGCATTCAGCTCGGCCTTGGAGATCCTGACCTTGTACTCCCAACGATCCATTGTCGAAAAGCATGACCGATACGCATTTTACCACCCTTCAGCTGAGGCCGTGGCATCTGCCTTGATGGATATGCCTTACAAGATTCTCAACACGATTCTGTTTTCTCTAGTTCTCTGTAAGTCGCCGTCTGTCTGAGCTCTTCCGGCATAATACGCGTGGAGAACGGATGCTGATTGAAAACGACAGACTTCATGACCAACCTTCGCCGCGAATCTGGTGCATTTTTCTACTTCCTATTCGTGTCATTCCTTACGGTTCTAGTCATATCGGGCATCTTCCGGTCCATTGCTTCAGCGTCTCGGACTCTGTCGCAAGCCATGGTGCCTGCAGCGCTCCTGATCCTAGGTCTTATGATGTACACTGGATTTGTCATCCCAATCGACTATATGCTCGGGTGGTCTAGATGGATGAACTATATCGACCCTGTCGCCTATGCTTTTGAGAGTCTCATGATTAACGAGGTAGGCCTCCCCCCCGGTTGGCAATTCACCGCGCCCGAAAAGAAGCTCATGTGGAACAGTTTGCCGGTCGTGACTTTCTCTGCACGGCTTTCGTCCCTAACTCGGACGTTTCTGGGTATCAAAACATTTCTACCGAAAACCGTGCATGCTCTTCTGTCGGAAGCAAACCCGGAAAGGATGCTGTGGCTGGAACGGACTACATCATATCCGGATTTCAATATTATCCCTCACACAAGTGGCGCAATGTAGGAATCATCATCGGATTCGTCATGTATGCAAACCTCGAGTTTCCGCCTCGCACTCGCTAACGGGTCACAGCTTCTTCAACGCCTTGTACGTGGTGCTGACCGAGATCGTCCGCGCCAAGAAATCCAAAGGTGAAGTTCTTGTCTTCCGCCGCGGTTACAAGCCCGCCCAGTTCAAAGAGGGGAAAAGTGATGCCGAGGCTGGCTTCCAGATCTCAACAGGCGCAAGGGCAATTGCCGCGCAGTCAGATGGAGAGAAAACTTCGGATGATGACGGTGGCTTTATCACTGAGACGGTCAACGTTTTTCATTGGAGGTAAGACCCTACTACACATGTCATGTCATGTCGAAGGCAGTGTTCACTAATGTGGCCCCGGCAGGAATGTCTGCTATGATGTCAAGATCAAGAGTGAAACTCGCCGTATCCTCGATCATGTTGACGGATGGGTCAAGCCAGGCACGCTCACGGCCCTGATGGGAGTATCTGGGGCAGGGAAGACCACCCTCCTCGACTGCCTGGCTGACCGAGCTGCGGTGGGCGTCATCACCGGCCAGATGCTTGTCAATGGAAAGCCACGTGATGCTTCATTCCAGCGGAAGACGGGGTATGTGCAGCAACAAGATCTACATCTCGAAACAACAACCGTGCGGGAAGCCCTCAACTTCAGCGCCCTCCTACGTCAACCAGCGCACATCCCGCGACAAGAAAAGCTCGCGTACGTGGACAAGGTAATCGCCCTGCTCGATATGGAAGAGTACGCCGACGCTGTGGTTGGAGTGCCCGGTGTGGGCTTGAACGTGGAACAGCGAAAGAGATTGACTATTGGGGTGGAACTGGCTGCTAAGCCTCCCCTGTTGGTTTTCGTTGATGAACCTACATCTGGCCTCGACAGTCAGACGTCCTGGGCTATCCTTGACCTTCTGGAAAAGCTCACCAAGAGCGGGCAGGCCGTCCTATGCACCATTCACCAGCCGTCCGCAATGCTATTTCAGCGATTTGACCGATTGCTTCTCCTGGCTAAAGGAGGGAAAACAGTTTACTTCGGAGACGTCGGCAAGAATTCCGAGGTCATGACAGCATACTTTGAACGTCATGGTGCCCCCGCCTGCCCTCCTGATGCCAACCCTGCTGAATGGATGCTTGAAGCGATCGGCGCAGCCCCTGGTTCCACTAGCGAGATTGACTGGCATACGACCTGGCTAGAGAGCTCTGAACATGAGGCTGTTCTGGCCGAACTACGTCGCCTCGAAGAAGGCCTAACACTCGTACGGACCCAGACCCAGGACAAGGCCAGCTTTGACTCTGAATTCGCCGCTCCCTTCTTTGAACAGCTCCGGGAAGTCACACATCGAGTATTCCAGCAGTACTGGCGTACGCCGTCCTACATCTACTCCAAAGCTGCTCTTTGCATCCTCATCTCAGCCTTCATCGGTTCGGACCCTTCTTCACTTTCACTGAAACAGCTGGGGTTACTGACTTGAGCCTAGGATTCTCCTTTTTCAATGCTCCAAATACTCTACAGGGCTTACAGAACCAGACGTTTGCCGTTTTCAACCTCCTGACAATCTTCGGTCAACTTGTACAGCAGACAATGCCTTACTTCGTCGTCCAGCGTTCCCTATACGAGGTTCGCGAGCGCCCGTCCAAGGTGTACTCATGGAAGGTCTTCATATGCGGCCAAATTATCGTCGAAATTCCCTGGAATACCCTCATGGCAGTCTTCATGTTTGTCTACTTCTACTACCCGATCGGGCTAGATACAAACGCAGAGCCATCAGATCAGGTCACTGAGAGAGGTGCCCTGATGTTCCTCCTCCTGTGGGCCTTCCTTATGTTTACCTGCACCTTCACGGATCTTATCATCGCTGGTTTCAACACTGCCGAGGCTGGCGCTAACGTCGCGAATTTGCTCTTCATGATATGTCTGATGTTCTGTGGTATTCTGGCGAACCCTGACTCTCTTCCCCGCTTCTGGATCTTCATGTATCGGGTCTCGCCATTCACCTATATGACAACAGCGATGATGTCTGTCGCCGTTGCGAACACCAACGTGGTGTGCGCCGACAACGAGCTTGTCAGGTTTGCACCCCGGACAGGCCAAACCTGCGGGGAGTATCTAGACGAGTACATCCGGAAGGCGGGCGGGTATCTTCAAAACCCTGACGCAACTGATACATGTGCATTCTGCACTGTCGGGGACACGAACAAATATCTCGCAGGCTCCAGGACTTTTTACAGCGAAAGATGGAGAAACTTTGGTATCTTTTTGGTATACATTGTCTTTAATATGGCGGGCGCTGTTTTCATATATTGGTTAACTAGGGTGCCCAAGAAAGGTCTTGGTAAGAAGCGGCAATAAGCTGTTGGAAGGAAGAAGAAGGGGGGTTTTGGGTTATATATTCCATCTAATACCATTGTGTACTCTGTACTTACTAGATTGCGGGTCAGAGTTTTGGCAGTTTTGGCTTTTCTTTTATTCTTTTTTTTAATATCATAATCTTTGTTAACTAGCAACCACTGCCAATTATTACCTATACCCACCCACCTGACAGTGCTTATGCTTAGAGTAGTGCGATGTAGGTAGCAACTAGTGAGATCGCATATCGCCCTGAATTCTTCTAGGGATTCCCCAGACGGTGAAAGTACGAATGATATGTTCAAGATTACCCGTAACCTGTCAAACTATGTTGCAGAGTTCCTGGTGAATTCGACTCTTGAGCGTTCGAGATGCATTCGATGCGTTTGCTTCTCCTCCCCTACCTCCAAGGTTGAGGGCAGGCGGGTAGGTTTTTGTTGGCCGGGCGGAACACACCGTAGAGGGCCTTTGCACTGAACTATTTTGCTTTATAGCAGCTCCCTTATAGGGAGATGCTCAAAGGGTCATATCAGTACGAATGGGAAGAAATAGCTAGAATGTATAAGAACTCAGAATGGAATCTTTAAGGGCTACTACCTAGGTTCCTATCGGGCTCACGCCTGAATCCCTCCCTTGTTGAGCTTTGCGTCTAAGGGGCTAGCCGTTTTAGGGTTCTGGGCCTTCGACCAGTTACAACAAAGTCGACCCAGAGCCCGCCCGGTCCTAGACGCCCTCGGGAGAATTGAGATAGGTCGGCCGCACTAAGCGTGCCAGAAGGGCAAGAACACTAGGTAGAAACAATAAATAGGAATAGTGTGTTCGTTGGTTGGCTGCTGTCGAAAGTGCTGGGTAATCTTGAAGCACGCAGGCCGATTACTAAGCCACAACCACCCACGGAATGATATAGAGCATCAATCCGATCAATCTAATCAAATTTGAGTCAAGGTTGCCGGTAACCATCAGAGACAATATTTTTTATTAGAAATGCCCTCGACCTAGTCGAGGCATGAGCTTAGCAGAGGTGCGCGAAGCGGCCTATCAAGCCTGGGCGTGATTGTACTTGCCGAAGGATCTGACACGTGACGCGCTAGGCAACACCACCCTGATGGCTGCCTGGGTGGCGAGAAGATGGCCGAGACAAACCATACATGGACGTTAGTATTGCTAAGAACAACGGGGCTTTCGTACTGGGCTGTCAAAATCGATTTGACGACGGAACGCGCTCGAGCGACGACGCGTCGACCACGTCCAATGGACCAGGCAAGCTCGGCGCCGGCTTTCGAGATACGGACGAGGTGATATAGGAGGGCGACACACCATGACCTGACTAGTGTCGAGTTCGAAATCTAGGAAGCCTCGTCTTATTTCAAGATCCCAGCAGTTTCTCGCTCCTATCTCCATCGCCGCTGATCGCTCAGCCCGACAAGATACTCCTACCCAACGCGCCAATCTCGGTAAGTACACGGGTACTACAGAGACAATCCATATTGACTTAGGGTCCAGGCACATCGAGGTCGGGTCTTAGCAAGACACATGCGCAAGGCGCCTCACCCAAGAATCCGACCCTGACCCCGACCCCGACTCCGACCCAGACCCAGACCCAGACCCAGACCCGACCGCTTCGCGCGAGAAGCCCCGAGTCCGGCGACCTCAACGCCGATAGTGTGGCGTATCTGGACCTTCCTGATCATACCATTGCCTCCTCCGGCTTACTACCATTCGGCAGCGATAAGAAACTCTAGGGCAAAGATTACATATCTCGACCAAAGCTAGCTGCGTCGAGTAGTAAAGACAGGCAGAGCAAAGGGACCAGCGTGGAAGAATCCAGCGATTCGGGCGACTTTCCAGATATCTATCGGCTTCTCGGTACCTCTCCTCCTACTCCGAGCCCTCGATATCAATCTAGAAAATATAGAAGAGGCGGCGGATCATGCCGCACGGAAACACACCGAACCCGCGATGGGAGCAAGCATCCTCTTTCGGCCGAAATTCAACCCGCCAGCGAGGAGGATGCCATAGCATCGCCGTCAAGACGTATGCACGGTCAGTTTGCCCGCGAGCGACAATCCCAGCAGGAGACAGTGCCTATCACTAGCACTCGACCTTCCTCAAAGAAAGCATTAAGCTCTTTAGAAAGGTCTAATAGAAGATCGGAAGCTTCCAACGCCGTTCATCAGACTCGATCGCTTCCATAGCTCACAGATAGCAGGGATAAACCGTTCATTCCCGAGCCCCGCGGCAAGTTTTTAATGACGCCTCCTAACCATAGTTCGATCGCTCTCTTAGAGATCCCCACGACTAGCACAATAGAATCGGGTACGCATATAGCGCTAACACCCATACCTCCGGCCCCGGCAGACATTACTTCACCCTCACAATGCCAAATATATCCTATAAATGCGGCTTCCAAAGCGCACGCCGTGGCGACGAGCAGCAGCTCGCAGACTATCGAGGCGACCCCCGAGGGTTTATCCGCTAAGCGTCCCCATAAACCTCCTTCCTAGTTAAGTTAAGTGCTAGCTCTTCTATATTAGCTAAGCTCGGAATTATCGGCCTTAACCAAATAGAGTAAGTTAATAGATAAGCTTATTAAGCAAAATAGTACAAAGTTTATAAAAGTGATAAGCGAATACTAGCCGAAGGAAAAAAGAAGCGAGGTTAAATCGGAAAAAAAGCGATTATTACGACGATAGAAGGCTATTAGGGATCTTACTGCGATAGCGGATAAGTATAGGGCGCTTTATAGGAACCATAAAGAGCTTACCTAAACTATTACCTAGGCCTACGTCTAAGGCCTTAATATAGATAGGGACGAGGTTCGACTTAATGACCTTACTAATAAAATCTATGCGGTGGAATAAGGCATTATCGAAATAATCGATAGTAGTAGGCTAGATATAGCTAGCTTTCTTAAGACCTTCCGGGAATTAACCTCCGGCACCCCTCCTACACCATCGGTCGTAATAGGCGGTCGGCATATACTTCAGAATAGCATCACCGTGTCCGCATCTATGGCGTCGAAGGATACCATACCGGCAAGAGAGACGGGTGCACTATGCCGGCTAGAGCCGGCAACGATGCCCTCGGCGGTGAACTCCATGCTTATGGATGCAGGAGGGCTAGATGCTAATGATAACGGCTTCTTCGATCTGGATGAACCTCAGCCCCAGCCGGTGCCCAAAGCTTCCAGCAACCTAGTACCAGATAGTCAGATGAGGCCTCAGGCGATATATCACCTCCCCGACGATATTAAATTCGGCGAATTTAACGACGACGAGGAGATACTTGCTTTTGCATAAGATTACGAGGCTCGTTAGACCTATACTCCCGTCTCGCAAGACTTTAGGGAAGCCTCCTCGGGGTCGGAGATATTTACTAACGGCGGAGCCGCTGCAGAGTCTCAAGCCACGCCAAGGAAGCCACTTCCTTCAGTGACGATAAGATTAATCCCCGCTAACCTAATAAAATACCTATGGTCACCTAAAGTCTGAAAGATACTCAAAGACCGGTTTAGAATAAAAGAGTTCTATTATAATTAGCTTAAGGCGATTAATACTATATTAGGGGGTAAAGATACCTTCGTACTAATACTAATAGGTAGCGGCAAGTCCCTATATTATTAATTACTAGCTATTATTAAGACTAATAAGACTTAAGGTATTATTATAATAGTATCGCCGCTACTTAGCTTAATATAAGATCAAATTAATTATATAAAAAGGCTAGGTATTTAGGCTATTGCGTTCTATAATAAGTACGCTGCCGAATATAAGAGGCAAGTAATAGCTATATTCGAGGAGGGAATCCTAGAGTATTATATTAAGCTTCTATATATTATGCCTAAGATAATTAGTAAAAATATTACTTTTAATAATAGGATATAAACTCTATATAGTAGAGGTAAGCTTATATATATTATTATTAATAAGGCCTATTATATTAGTTAATAGGGCTATGATTTCTAACTAGATTATAAGGCTCTAGGTTAGGTCTACTAGAGATACCTTAGCGTGCCGGTTATAGCTCTTATAGTAATAGTAATATAGAATATTATCGCTGATATTAGGCATAATCTCGGGATAGATAGATACTAAATATTTTTATAGAGCTTTAATCGCCTAAACCTATATTATAAAGTTTATTTAAAGATAATAAATAATAAGATAATAGATAATATTACCTCGCTAATTAGATTATAATATTAGAATTAAAATAAGATTATTTATATTATCTCTCGGAAGAATATAGAAAAGGTTACGGAGAGCCTAATAAAATAGGGGATAATAGCTAGGTATTACTATATATATATAGACCCTCGGGAAAAGATAGAGGTATAAGATAGCTAGCAAAGGGGTTAGGTGAAGGTTATTATTGCTATTATTGCGTTCGGTATTGTAAAAGACTGAAGGATAGAGAAGATAAAGTCTTCAAAGACTATAGGGTAGATGACTTGGATAGGAGGTGAATAGGCAGAGGAATTAGTCTTAATATATAGTTGAGAGACTAAATAAGAAGACATATAGGGTAGGCAAAGTAAGAAGGAAGATCAATAAGGCTAATAAGAAGAAACCAGCTTCTTATTGGTATTTATATTGGTTGAATTGGTTGAATTGGTTAAGGATCTTAAGAACTAATTCTAAGAGAGGGCTTATAGCTTATATAGAGAATTGCTCGGAATCTATTAGCCCGATTCGGATGAAAGTTATACCGTCGGATAGCCCTAATTCCGGGCTTTATAACCCTATTAGTTTTACTAGCAACGGATAACTAGAAGCCGAGTTATGGCATAATAGAGGTTAAAACCTATAGGGTTTTAAACTAGGATATTCAAAACTAGATAGGAAATACCCTATAGAGGGACACGGATTTAACGGCATTATCGGGCTTTTAATAAAGTCCTAAGTCCGAGATCACGTGACCTTCCTAAAAGGGAAATAAGCCCAAAAAGGGCAATATTAATACTCTCTTATATCTTACTTATCTAAGTAGATATGGCTTAGGTAAGCAATCTATAAGAAAGCGCATAAGCTAAAGCATAGGGTAATAAAATCCTAGGCTTATATCTTATAAACTTATTTTTCTAGAATTTTATTTATAAAAGACCTTTTTATTATAAGGACTTTTACAGGTATAGGCATAGATAAGCTAGATATAAGATTTATTATATATTATAGACTTCTAAAGAGCTTAGAAGTATATTACTAGGAGATTAATCGCATAGGTTAAGATAGTAACCTATTAGACTATATTCTCTTCTATAGCAAGGGGGATATAAGGGTTCTAAAGAAGCTAATCGCTAATAGCGAAGGGAGTAAGGAATAGAAAAAGCGGCAAATATCTATACTAAACTATATTATAGCATTCTATAATAATAAGTCTAATTGCCGGTATACTAAGATTCTTTAATATTTTAGCGAGGAATTTACCACGGGATAATATTATAAGATATGCGATAACTATAAGGTAGGCTTAATCTTTAAGTAATAAGACTTTTCTAAGTATGTGATTACTACTATCTATATCGTCTAGGCATAGGGCCGGATTATAGTAATATAATACGCTAATATCCTCATAGGGAAGAAATACCTACCCTATGCGGCTTATCTCTTAGATAATTAGTATAATATAGTAAGGAGCCTTAAGAAGCATAAGCTTATCTAAGTTATCGATAAATCATCCGCCGAGAAGGTATTCGATGAGAATAACTATATTAGGAATCACGGTATAGTAATCTAATACCTGAAACTCGGAGCGACATATTACCTATTTCTCTTAGGATAGTAGAAGCTAATGCTATCGATTTAAGTATCGGAAGACGGGGCGACTAATAGTAGGCTAGTCAAATGGCCGAGGATATCCGATAGGAGCGGTAAAGGTAATATATAATATTCAGGGAGTAAGAAACGGGCCGGCAAGAACTAGACGGGTAGAGTAGCAAAGCGGAAGTATACCGACTCCGGCCGCAAGGCTGGCAGCTCTTCGACGGCAGCTAAGACGATTAGCAGCGTAACAAATGGGAAGATATAGCGAAAGAGTGGCATTAAGGTGATGCTATTATAGGGCAAGAGCCCGAGACTTTGAAGCTTAGGCTTGGCCAAGGGTACTCGCTTATTTGGGGGGGCCCTTCTGTCTGGCGATAACCCTCTGGAAGAGTTACTGGTTAGGAAAAGGGGCTCTTGGTTAGAAAAACGGAGGTAATTGCCAATTCACCTAATTCAGTATCTAGATATCGTTTTATGAAGAGGACACGCGTGAGAACAGCGACCGGTGCGACCGCCTTATGTTTATATAGAGACGCAAGGATGATATCGGCCGCTATTGACCCTCTAATCGCCGTGCCTCCTTTGACGCCATGGATTTGCTTTGACTAGCCACACTGATCTCTCCAGCAGTCGAGTAAATGATGTTAGAATAATTGGGAGCTTCCCCCTCTACCTCAGGGTCACATCACAAAGTCCTAGATTGAAAGTTAAAAGTCCTAGATGGAATCGCATGGGATATAAACCCCTAGGGAGCTCTCACCATGACAATAATAATAATAACCTTGATTTTATTAGTCACACCCAGCATCACTGCGCAATTCAACAACAAATAATACATACTACGTAACAACCAGTTCCCAATCCTAAGCCACCGCCGAGTCAGGTTAGCTCGAATAATACAGAAAGTCCCTAAAGTACTACGAAATTAGACTAGGTTAAAATAGCAGCGAGTAGTATCTACTAATGACCGAACCTATGCTTGCCCTGCCGCAGCAAGGCTAGATTAACTAAAGTATGCGGCCTCGATATTCATTAACCCAGACAATGCAGGATCATCAACGATAGGATATCCAGTTTACTCCTAAACTACCGTGGATCGCGAGATCCGCATATTAGTGCTTCTTCTCTTCCAGGGCCGGCAATAGCTAGTTCGAAGTCGGCCAATATATAAAACGATATAGGAAGGAAGACCACGAGCGAGATATACTTCTATATGCCGCCCACGGGCGAAAGTCTAGAGTTTATGCCTTAGGTAGTAAAACTTCCGCTGCTAACCGGTCCTTAGCTAGAGATAAATCAAAGGCCATCCGTTTCTAGAACTAATTTGCATAATATTACGCGGGCGTTAACTAGACTAGCTTTACTACGTAGCTTAGTGACGTATGCTAGTTATCGCTAATCATAAATATATCTATCTCTATCTACCCGCTACCTAGGTGGCCGAAGATAATAACTTATACTTCGCCTCGAATATACTCCTTTTTAGTCCGGTTTACTATCTTTCTAATCACTAGGACCGCTAATTCTTCTAGATTCCTAGCCGTATATCCTTTTCTAAATTCGATATTCTCCTAATAGACTTCCCTTCGGCTACTATCCTACAGATAATATCTGCTACTATTTATAAAATATATGTAAATATATCTACTAGGATCGCCTTAGGGCGGTGGCTAACTTATGCCTTTTAAAATACCTACTTTGTATAGTTCGTTATTTAGTTGTAACCAACGCTTACGCTACTAAGTGATTCTCTTAATCCGTGAGTCAGCTCGTTGCTATTTTTTCTATTTTTCCTATTTCTGCATCCCGTTAGACTACATAGCTACTATCCTGACTATAATAGCCTTAGATTACTTCGCCTATTATAAGTCATCCTCTTTAATACTTTGCAGCGGTTATAGATATACCTAGGCTAAAGCCTAGAAGCTATTGAGTCTAAATAAACAATCGATTTAGGTGGTGGCATAAAGCGGGGTTTTCTTACATAATCTTAACCCCCCATAACAGGATGCATATCAAGGCGACACAAACCTCCAAGCCGGCCACAACAGGTAAGATTACGCTATTCGAGAGCTATTGGTGTCTATAGAGGCTAGTCGATAAGCGTAGATAGAGAGGTTAGAGAAAGAGAAAAACGGGAAATCGGAGGCCAGCTCGCTGACATCGTTGACGAGGTGGGGTGCCGCGGATAAGCATTGATCCGAGAGGCTTCGGCTTTGCGCTGGGCCCCGCCATTTAGTATTCGGGCATAACTACATACAAGATTATCGCAGGGTAGGCAATCTTCACGGCCTTATAAAACAACTATATTAATAATCTAGCCATATACTATAAGTAGCTCTGCGGGATAGAGTACCCCGCACTAGAGATAACCTTAGACAACAATCAATTAACATACTGCTATTGCTTATTATTGTTTACCTAATCCTTGATCCTTTTAGCACGCTCAGTGCGACAAAGATTATAACCACGTAGGATATCATCAAATAATAAGAACGGGGGTTCGCGTTTTACGCTCCGCCAGGTATTTGGTCCTA